AAAGCTCGAGACAAGTTGAACAGTTTGGACATCTGAACAGTTGCACGTGCAATATTTCACCGGCTCCGCGAGAACAGAACGCCCAGATGCATCGATAGCATGGCCCAGAGCTAGGAATTAGCACTGCAAAGGAAGCTATCCTCAAAGAGAATCCCAAAAAAAATATGTGCCGGAAAGATGCGACAAGCGTCGACAGGCCAAAAAAAAAGCAACGACGGCAACCCAGAAAAAACAGCCCAAACATGCCGCAAAAAGTTGCAGAAAAAATGGTGGAAAAACAGAATAAGAAGTGCCGCTATGTGACGATGACGATGACGATGATGTACCAGTACCCACAACTCATATTGCAGTTAAGGCCAAAAGCTGATTCCGCTGCTAAAACAGGGGATCCGACTGAAGGTGAAGCTGATGCCGTTGCCGTTGCCGATGCTGATGCGATGCAGAATGCTGAACGTTGAATGTTGAACCTGAGTCCAAAGTCAGAGCCAAAGTCAGAGGCTGAGTCCCAGCCATCCGCATCTAGCATTGTCAGGCTTTGTGCCGTTTGCAGTTTTCAGTTTTCAGTTTTCAGTTTGCAGTTGCCGTTTGGCGTGGCATGCGAAATAAAACTCTCGTAAACAGACAGCGACGTCTCTGAACTGCCAGCATCTGCGGAACAAGGAGCTGAGTCAACTTAATAGATTCAACTGACTCTCAGATACCCTGCGATGACAGGGCAGGATGAAATATCAATGAGTAATATTTGGCACTAAATGATAGGATTGGTATCTGCATTCTTATTTACACTTTACACAGTTTATCAAGGAAACCTTGATGAAGTATGACAATCTAAATTAAATTCACTTAAATGGGGATAACATTATAAGTTACACCCTTCCCGAGAGTAACACCAAACATGACTATTCCCTCATGGAGCAGGGTATTCAGCACACGGGGCAGGAATCTCAAAAGGCATGCTGCCACAACGACAACAACAACAAGCATTCTGACAACAAACATTGGAGGGAACAAGCAACCGGCAAACAACAAAACAACAAACACCGAGACGAGACGAGAAACCTTCTCTTCGGCGCTGAGCTGCAGGAATTACGCAAATCTCGTTTGTTGAATGTGTTTTTCAGCTAGGTGAAGATGCGCCAATATGGGATGAGCAGGGTGGATCCCAGCCTGGAAGCAGGGGGGTTCTCGAAAGGGGGCGCTGAAGGAGACCGGCGGGGACATAAATCTGCTTTAGCATTTGGAAACGCTGCCTGGTTTTTGTGCATAACGTCGACACGATGTTGCTGCCATTGCTTTTCTTTCATTTTGTCGCCGTTTTGTCTGTGACATTGCACTCGCCCTGTCCTTTTACCCATTTCTCTGTTTTAGCCCCGTTTGTTTGCTTTTTCTGGCTCTTATTTTTATTCCTTTTATTTCTGCCCTGAGCTTAAGACTCATAATGCCGTTATAAACACAAACGAATGCAGCTCTCTGCATCTGTTTTTTGCCTTTTCTCCTCCGACTTGTGTATATTTTTTGTTGTTGTCAGAGGTCAGCGCACGTTTAAGCCAAGCATCGCAATTATACGCACAATGCAATTGGAGAGGCTAAAAACTCAAACATACACACAGGCATATACACACACACACCAGCTCACATAGCACAGAGGGCATTAAGTATACGACCCGTGGATGGCAAAACCTTTTGGGAGCAGATGCCGAGCATCACTTCCAACATCTGACCTGACCCTCATTGCCGGCGACTTGGATTTACTTTTTATTTTCCATTTCAGCCGGCTTTGTTTTTCTGCAAGGGCAATAAGCTGGCGTTTCTCCTTAGCCGCCTTGCAGTTTAAATGGCAGCAAATGAGCTTACACACGGCAAGCGGGATTTAATCTGGCTGGACTTCGTATTCACTTCAAAGTTGCACACCTTTAAAGGGTCGTTTATGAAAAGTTAGGGAAACTTTTTGTGTATTTGAACTTACGACATTCTGGTTATATACCAGCAAATTCAAGTCAAGTTTGGAGTAGTTTTCATCATGCACCTGAGCCTGGGGAGCTCATCCCGTGAAAACATAAAGCATGTGTTAATTATGTTAAAGCCCTGTGACTTGCAGCGGATTCCTGGGCACGCAAAGGCTGAAATTGGGTTAGTCACGTCGTTAAAGTTTGCCAAGACGCTGATTGCGTTTCAGCCAAAACGCGATGCTGGGATTTTTCCGCTTCCCCCGAAAAGTGTCCCCCGAGGGTGGCAGAAAGGGAAGTTACTGGGCTGGCTGGTGGCCAGACATGTGTGCTATATTTTCCGGTTTACCACTCGGCGTTCTCTAATTAAGTTGCAGGGCAAAAACTTGCTCCGTTTTCGCTAGTGTTGCCGTCAGCTGACAAGAAAAGCAGGCAATCGAGGTTGAGGGCCAGCTGGGGGTGGCGAAAAATGTAAGCTCATTAAGTGTACTTGGCCAGGATTCGATGTCCTTTGGCTACAAGGGAGGTCCTTCCAGCAACATCAAAGTAAGCATAATTTGATTAAGACATTTTAGCCAAAGACCTAATCATCATTAGCATCAACATAATCATCGCAAGGCACATCCGGCGTCTCCTTAATTTTTTTTTTTCCATCCTCCTTCCTTTTTGCTGCGCTGTCAGCATCAGGATCATCTATAGCCTTCATCCTTTGATGCCCCAGACATCATCTACGTCACTGGTTCGGGGAAAATCTAATTTATTGAACTCTGTCAGTGAGTGAGTTGTGTGTGGAAATCGGCGCTGGAGCAGGGGAAACGGTTCCGCCCCGAGAATGCTTGTCTGGACCTGGAAAACCTTTTGGGACCCAAAACACTTTTGTTTGCACAAGTTTTTCCGGCAAAACCCCTGTGATTAATTGCGGTCCTTACGTGTTTACGTTGATTCTCGGCCATAACTTAGGCGCTGAACGAGTAGTTCATTAGGCTGGGTGTTATTTGGGGTGTCTATTTGCTGGGATTCCTTAAGAGGAAGGAATCCGGAATCCAATACTGCCCGATCGATAGAGCTGTCTCTCCTTCAGACGCTTTCGGCACTCTTCAAGGGATATTATTTTACTCCGGTCTCACCTCATCTAGAATTCCATTTACGTGCACATGCATTATTAGCTCCTTCTCTCAGTAAGTAAACGGCAACCGACAATATGATGAACGCTCATGGTTCTTATGCATTTTTAAAATGCACTTTCTTCTCGTGCTTTGTTTTATGGTAAAAGCATTGACAGCAGCAGTAAGCCAAGAGAAGCAACACGAACAAGAGCTTCTGCAGAGAGGATGACAACAATAAGGACACGACTTGTGTTGGAAATTTCACAGACCATTGTTTTAATGTCCTTGCCCACGTTCACTTCACGTATTTGTAATGCAATTTGAGCAGCAGGACTGCAGGATGAAGCCGATGTCCTGCCCAACTGCAGCACCACGTTCTCTGGCAACGCCACTGCCGGTGTCACTTCACTGTCACTGTGTCACTTCGTCCTGTTAACGACTGTCATCTAATGCAGTCGGCACAAATGCAATTAGTTTTTGACACACACGCACACGGGTCCCCCTCCTGTCTGCCGGAGTTCATGCAAAAATTCAACTCAGCTCGACCTTTTCGAAATGGAAGTGCTGTCACTTATATATTACCCCTGCCCACAGGACTTTCCATTCGTTTTAGGAATGTGAACGTGTTGCTGAAAGGATAATGATTAAGTGCAGAAGCATAATCTAAGATTAATACAATGCAAAGCCATAAATTCAACTTAACGTTTGTATTCATTATTGTATTTTATGGAAATGGGAAAACAAGCAAATAAATACAAATATGCTACAAGCATTCCGAAAAAAATGTATATCAAATATCATCTCCACTATATGCCATCCCTACTTCGACTCCATCTTTTGGCATTTACAATTCCCAGACGGCGAGTTAAGCAGCTCGATTTCGGAGTCGAGCCCTGAGGTCAGCAGAATGTTTAACATAAATTCAAAACGAGTTCGGGTCGAAGTTGCGAGTAAACTGGCAGTTACACCGAGTTCTCACTCCCGGAATCCCAGTGTGTTCACACTTGCCAGCCATTAAGTTTATTACGCAACAACAATAAAGCAGGCCAATATGCATGCAAAGGGGAAATGCCGTGTGCAGGATGTGGATGTGGTTCTGGATGTGTAAGAGGATGTGGATGCCCCAAAGGGATCCTTCGACCAGGCAGAAATACCATAAATAAAACATGGCAGCGGGTCGAACAAACAACAAAAGGCAAAAGTCAGTGTCTGCTGGTCAGTTCCCAAAAAAGAAGAGCACATGAGACACACTGCAGACAATCGGGCAACAGGAGCATCATCTGCCGGAGGGGGCAGTGGGCGAACAGGGTGAGCAGGGGCGTGGCAGCTGGCTTTGCGGTTAACAATAGCACGCCCCACGGCCATAGTTTGGGTGCTTTTTGCGGTTCCTGCAGCTGCGGCCACCTTTTTCGGGGGAAGCTCCTCTGGATTCCCCAGAGAACAAACTCAATTTATTATTGCCACTCGACGGACGGGGCGAGAAAAAAGGGAATTGGCATTTTAAAGCTTTAACAAATTAAATTAAACCAACAGCAAAATTGTTGATTGCCCGACTTTGGCCGCCTTCGATTTGCCATAAATTGTTTGGTCGAAAGGCAGAATGGCAATGGGAAGGTTGGACATTTTCTTATTTCCCATTTTATTTTATCAGAGGCACACAAAAAAAGGCAGCAATTTTCCAATTGAATAATTGTCACTGGGAAGTTTTCACTTTTGTCGGCGGAGGAGACTTAGCCAACCGAACGGAAAAGGGGCGCAGGACGAAAAGGAAAACGAGGACCGTGTCTGTGGCCATTCAATGGCTCAACAGTTTGCCAGTGTTTCCAGTGTTTGCCTTTGCTTTCCTGCCATTCCTGCCATTCCTGCCATTCCTGCCTTGCTGCTTCCCATCCTTTCTATCCCCAGGACTCTGCTCTGTTTTAACAGCAATTTTCTTGTCTATTTTCAGGATGATTTGCCCGGCCAGGCTCTGCTGGATGTCGTCTTCGCCAGGCTCAATTTAATCGAGACCTCATACTTCGGCATACGTTACATAGACGAGGAGAACCAGACGGTAAGTGTGTAGGGCAAAAAAAAGACCTCTTCCGCTGGGCAAACATATTGGTTTTGGAAATTCATTTTCGTTTTCATTGAAATTCATTCGGGCGCGATGAAAAATGAAAACAAAAAGCCGAGCAGCCAGACAACGGCAACTCTTTGAGTGTCCTTTGGCTGCGGGGCAACTTACATAATTTCGCTTTCGTTCGACCTGCAGGAGGTGTCCTCCATTGAATTTCCCACACAGTTTTGTGCTACCACCTGGTTGCTCATACGCCCCATGGTGCGCCCTTGAATTTAACCCTCTCTTTGCTTCTCCCCACAGCACTGGCTGGATCCTGCGTCGCGCATTTCGCGGCAACTCAAGCCCAAGTCGGACCCTTATGACTTGTACTTCGGCGTGAAGTTCTATGCCGCTGATCCCTGCAAGCTGCTGGAGGAGATAACCAGGTGAGAGGAAGTCATTGTTGGGGATTTACCAGAAGATAGTTGATTTTTAGCCACTTAAACCGATTCCCTTAAATACCATCGCTTCGTCCGCCTGAACATTAACTATTTAAGCATTTAATTTGTGTCATCCCATCTCTGGTCTGCCATAAATTCGGTAAATTGAATTTGGCAAATTTAATTTGTTAATTGAGGCACACAGACGCATAATTATAATGCAATAAACAACAAATGAAGCGAATTGAGATGCACGAGCTGAAAACTGTGAACTCGGGCTGCCCACTCAACTAATGGATAATGCATCGAGCAATTAATGCATTTATGCGCGCACATCAAGCGAAATAAATTAAAATAACGCCGGTTGACCAGTGGAGGAGGCCAGCAGGAGGCCACTAGCAGGCCAGCAGGCCGAAGGGAAAATGCCAAATGTCGCCAATGTCAAGGGAAATGGGAAACAGGAAATGGCAACTGGCGAATGGCAAATGGCGGGGGAAATGTAGCAATGTGACCATGGCCATGGTTTTCATCGCCTCGTCATCCACGTCCTGGGGGCGATTGCAGCATTTATCAAGCATTTGGTGTGTGCAAATATTGGCTCTCCATACGACGACACGTTGGCCATAATCATTCGCCAGGCGGGGGGATGGGTCGGAAAAGCAGGCAAAACCATTCGCCAAACATCATCAAAATCCTGGCCAACTGCCGCTGAATCCACTGCTAATATTAGCGCATATAAATGCATCGAAATGCACTTCTGGCCAAGTGGAAAAGGGGCGCCTGCATGACGAGCACGATGGGGGCGTGGCAATGCAATTGCCGTTGCATTATTGGAAGTGCACTAGGGCCAAAGAATATTGTGTTATTTTAGCTATACAAAGTCTGCGGCATACAATAAACGGCAATTGACTTTGGTCAGGACAAAGTTGAAAATCCAAACAGACGGCGATGGGATTAAGGCAAACAGGCAGCTTCAAGTTGAAGCTGCGCTTGATTTTAGCAAATAATTGTGAAATATGATGCCAGCCCACTGTCTGCCGTTTATTTGTTTCGTTCCATGATTTCCATGTTACGCCCAAAGTCAACAAGGCGGCTCTGTTTGCTGAGGACAAACATTCGGGGGGACCAACTAATTTTATGCCCAGATTTTGTTTGACAACTTGTTAACTGCTCCTTGTCCTTGTTTTCGGGTTTTGTTTTCGTCCTGTTTGCCAATGAAATTTGTCATTTGCAGGTATCAACTCTTTCTGCAAGTCAAACAGGACGTTCTGCAGGGCCGACTGCCTGTGGCCTTTGAACTGGCCGCCGAACTCGGAGCCTTTGTGGTGCAATGTAAGTATTAAAATGCCATCCGATTCACAGGTGTCACACGATTCCTTTGAGGTTATTTTGTGGGCCGACTTGAAGCCTTTTATGTGGAGTCAAGGAAATTTGAATACCTTTTGTAGATACCTTTCTTAAGTTTAATCAAATTACCTTTTATTTACCAAATAAATTTCTTTGATCTTGTGTTTAGTTGTGTCAAGAACTTAACTTATACAGTCTTAAAGTGCAAACTTACTGATTGCTTCTTCCTTCAGACACCATACTTACCAATATTTAAGGATTATCTTCTAGTAATCTAATATATATCCCCATATTTATATCTATCCACAGCCGAGCTTGGTGACTATGATCAGCGGCGCCATTCGAAGGGCTATGTGTCCGAGTTCCGGCTGCTGCCCAACCAGAGCAACGAGCTGGAAACCCGCGTCTCCGAACTCCACCAGCAGCTCAAGGGAATGTCGCCCTCCAGTGCGGAGCTCAACTATCTGGACAAAGTCAAATGGCATGATATGTACGGCGTGGATTTGCATCCCGTTCTGGTAAGTAATGTGCTGATGCTGCTCATGTGTCAAACCAAATCGGCTGAAATGGGAGGGGGGCTGCGTTAGGGTGGCCCTCGCCTGACCCGAAGCTCTGAAGTTCTGAAACCACAGATGGTTCACCAGACAGCCGGGCTTCGACGTTCAACCAGCCGGATAAAAGGGGTCAGAGGAATGCAAAGTTTAATTTCATTTCAAGGCAAATATTATAAATCATTTGCTCACATTTCTGTGGGGTCCCGAGAGCGGGGGAGGTGGATGATTACCCCCGAAAAGCGAGTCTCGGGTGTCTACGCTTTGTGCTGCGTAAGTTGGCACTTCATTTGCATTTTTTATTGCCCTTTACTTTGATATCAAACCTCAATAAATCACCAGCTGTGTTTGTATACATGCATGGTTATGGGGCTGGGTCGGGGGACCCCAACCCTTGTATTCCATGTGGCGAATGGTGGTATGTGCCACAAACAAAGCCTATATGCCTATATCCACCCCCTTTCACTCACTCACCCGTCGCCCTTGTGTTTGTTTATAGACACAAATCATTGACTATCGCGGCGCCAGACCGCCGTCTTTATATGCTCGCCGCTTTCTCCTTCTTTTTAATTTAATTAACAGCTGAAATTACATTTATTTCGGCTTTTTTCTGGGCGCAATATAGGATAGAGGTATCCATAAAAATGCCGCCTGCTGCTAATGGGCGAAAACTTTCTTCTTGTTAACACGTTTTTTGGCAATGGCCGAAAGGAAACTTTTCGCCCGCCTTTTGTTTGCCAAAGTTTCTCATTTTGCCTACTTCTCCCCGTTTTCCCACAGGGCGAGGACAGCGTGGAGTACTTCCTGGGCCTGACTCCTAGCGGGATTGTCGTGCTGCGCAACAAGACGACGGTGGCTCATTACTATTGGCCGCGCATTGCCAAAGTTTATTATAAAGGACGCTATTTTATGCTCAGGATAAGCGATAAAAATGTAAATTCTCAAACGCACCCAACGCGACAATGGCCACTGGAAAACTGCGAACTGGTAACTGGGAACCCGAAACGACAATGGCCACAGTGACGATGTGAATGAGGATGAGATGGGGTTTGGGAGATGAGGATCCCCAATCCCTAGCCCATCCCAGCCATAAATTTGTTTGCCGACAAGTGCTTTTTACAATTTGCAGTTCGTTCCGCGAGTGAATGGTCGAAAGTTAGCACTAAAGGGTAGTAGACCTATAACCGAGTTGAGTTGGAAGTATCTGACAGCTGGGATAGCTTAAAGTTACCTTAGAAAGATCTTCCCTCAAATAACTTTAATCTCCTAACTTATTTTGTTAACTAATTTTATAAATATAGCTAGCCAATGATGACAGTTTCAAAATAGTTAATTCTGCTGAAAGAGTCATATAGATATCCATCTCTAGAGGAACCCTCCAGGGTATCCCATGTTCTCCAGCTCATGCTGGGAGCCTTCAATTTCTTATTCCCGTTTTGCAGTGTCGCCAATTTTTCTGTGTGCTCCTTATGGCGACAACTTTTGGCTGTCAGCGGCATCAAGTGGCGCCAGGAGCCAAAAGCGTAGGAGGACTCGTTAGACAACAAGTAGCTGGTAGCTGGTAGCTGGTTGCTGGTTGCTTTAGTAGCAGATACCAGATAGGAGCCGCTGAATGGCTGAAGCTGCTGGAAGTTGCACACTTTCGGGTGTTAACGCTTTGATAATCAAAAAAGTTTCCCAGCCAGTTGACGCACACAAAAGGCGGAAACTTCAGAATTTTCCTTCGTCTTGATTTTTCCCTTTTCCTTATTTAACTTGTCTTTTTTTCGGCCAGCACTTTACAGTTTGTAATGGGAGGGGGCGAACCCGACAGGGGCATTCATTCACTCACTCACTCCGCCTCCTTTGTCGGCATGTCTCAGTAGAGTTCCTTGTTCCCAGTTCCCTGTTCGCAGTTCGCAGTTCCCATCGTGACTCGACTCTTGTGCTTATCACACCTTTGCGATTGGATTCCGTTTCTTCCGCAGAACGAGCTGAGCACCTACGGATTCGAGACGCCTCGCAAATCGGCCTGCAAGCACTTATGGCGGTGCTGCGTGGAACATCATGCCTTCTTCAGGCAGGTGCGAGTGGCCCCTTTGCCCAGTTCGCAGTCGCATGCCGCCGATTTGTTCCAACTGGGATCGCGCTTCAGGCACAGGTGAGTGACTAACCAGAAATGCTGCGGAGTACCAGGAACTCTCCAGGAAGTTCCTGTGGGTGCAGTCGTGTGTGCTCCGCCCATCAGATGGAGTTGTAAGGTCCGAGAGCCCCTCTGGGTCCCTGCTGCCTAATTTATTGGCCAAACCGAAAAGCGCAGCCAATTAAGACGTTACAAATTTCAATGGCCCAGGCACTCGAGTTCAATCCCTGGCCCCTGAATGCAGTTCATGTGATTAGCTCATTAAGGGTCAGCTCAAGTGGGGAAATAGGGCTGGGCTCTGGTTCTACAGAAGATAGAAAGAGGACGCCAAGGGCTTACTAATAATTAACGTGGGGGATATTGGACTTGATAGAAGTTGCTCAGAACTAATGATCTTATACAGTTTAATATACAATTTCTATGGTAATACCCAGTAAGGAACTATTATTATTTTCAAGATAAATAACTCGAGCTCATGAAGTCAGGACTTAATAAAGAGCATCTCCAGTTTCAAAGAAGACCCCCGTAGAAGGCAAACATGAGCCAGGCTCGCATGTCAGCTCCTCGAATTTCCCGCCAAACCAATTAGAACTCATCTCTGGCCAAAGCCAAAGCCAAAGTCAAAGTCAAAGCCAAACAGAAGCAGGCATCCAGATCCAGTGCAAGCCAAGCAGTGTTCATAGATCAAGTTTACGCCATCGCCTGCATGGCCAACTAATTGGAAGTCCAATAAAAATGTCGGATCTGCGGAGGGGAGTGGGACCGGGATTAGGAGGCCTTCGGGCAGTCAGCCAAAAAGCAACTCGAGTGCAAAGCCCACTAATGACTTTCTGCGAAAAGGGGGCTCTAAGCTGCTGGTTCACCAAATGCAGGCAATTGTGCATGACGAATGTGGCAGGGAATCCAGGGGGAATCTAAGGGACTCAGGGGCACCAGGGGAACCAGGAGACCCAGGGGCTCCAGGTCCTTCATGTTTATGACTGGACATTTGCGGTGACTGCGGCTGACCATTTAGTTGCCGGGGTAAACTTTCTTGCTCCCAGTCTCAAAATGGAGTTCACGTGGCCAACCGTAACTCAGTGAAACTATTAACTTGGCTGCCAGGGCATTTCTAGGGGCCAAAAAAGTTTTGTTAGGGGCGTCGGCTCGTTTTATGACTGCCCCAAGAACAGAACGTTTTTAATTTGAGAAACAAATGAAAGTTTGCCAGTTTGTAGGCTTTTATTTTATTCGCCTGTGTGTGTTTTACAACCTTTTTATGGTTCGCTGTTCATTATTAGCGTCTTCTATGATCCGTACTCTCGTTTCCTTTTTTGGCATTTCCCCGTTTTGGTTGTTAATATTTTTGGACGCCTTTATGCCTACTTTTATGTTGCCCAACACCACCGCATGTCTGCCAAACCCCGAACCGCACCCTGAAAAGTCGCCCGGACAAGCAAACGGAGAAGGATGCACTTTCCGCCGGACGATCGCCGCCCGCCTTCACCCGCACTCCATCGAAGCGCCAGCCGCGCCGCGTGATTGATGACTTTTTTAACAGCAATAGCAATGGCAATGGAAACGGAAACGGAGCAAGTGGAGCGGGAACATTAGGTGGAGGCAGCCACATGGGCAACCGGCCCCTCCCCCAACCCGGAATGGGCACCATCTCCAAGTGAGTACTCCAAACTCCAAAATGCCCATCATTTGTTTTCATTCCGAGCACAAAAGTTTTGATTTACCCATCCATCGGCCCGTGTGTAGTACCCTCGCGTTCTGTATTTTACCCATTTATGTACGGCAGCTGCTTCCTTTGACGTAGTTGTCCTTTTCCCCGGCCAAGTCCTTTTTTTGGCCGCGTCCCTTTGCTTTTTAGTAATCATTTTTGGTAGCTGGCGCGCCGGAAGAGCTCTCATGTGGCTCGTTGGAGAGGACTCGCCTTTGATCTCTTTTTAATTTTCAAACATATATTTTTCGGCATGGCTATTGCTATTCGGAATCGCCGGGTTCAATTTGAAAGGAATGCAGCCGGGCACTTCATCATTCCCCGCCTGTTCCGCTTGCGTTTGACAGGACAAACAGGATACATAGATACATAGAAGCTCCTTGGCATTGTCCCGGCTCAAGTGCCCTCTGGCACTCTGGTTTCTGTTGCTGTTTCTGTTTCGAATTCGTGTTCAAAATCCATTTAGTTGCCATTTCGAAGGCAGTTACATTGTCTAGACGCAGCATTTATTAAATGTTTTATGGCTGCAAACATCAAATTATATGGACGAAAAGCAAATACAGAGCCAGGATGTTTCTGGAGAAATTGAGTCATGCCAGCAGATTTATGGTCAGGCAGTGAATATTCCAAGTTGTAGAGACTGGGCAAAGGCGATCCCAGGAAGCTCTCGAATTAGACAATTACCAGAGACCATTTCCAGCTGTCCAGTGTAAGTGTTTGCCCACCTTCCGTGCATAAATTACACGCTCGGGTGAGGCTCTAAATAAGGTAATAGAAGCCAATTGTAATCGCTGGATTCCCGGGCGAAGACCTGGGATGAGCAAATAGCCCGCGTCATTTATCATTTGCAAACAAAGAGAAGCCCAAACATCAGGCCAATCAGGCAGCCAGTCCCCACACCACACTTGCCCGTTCCCGATCCCGATCCCCATCTCCATCCCGATCTCAGATGCCAGATCACAGATCACAGATCGCTGCTCGCTGCATCCGAAGGAGCATAAATCACCAGGCACGTTCTGGGCTTTCTCGGTTCTCTGGGATCCTCAGTGGAACTGAACTGAAGCGACGACTCCTGAGAGTACGAAATGATTGCCCGCTGATTGCCAGTGCGGCAATTACTCAATTTTGCACACGCGCATTATTTGTCTGTGTCGATCTCGGCGTGGTGGAGCTGCCTCCCCAGATCGAATTGGACAGCCTAAATGGCCTTCCATGCCGCGGACTTTAATCAACGTTTATGTTAAACAATTTAAATTTATGGCAAAATAATGCGAGATCGCGCTGACTGATCCCCCGCCTTTAATCTCTTTTCCCCCGCTCAAAAATAGCAACTACGACAGCCCCTATCGCTCCACCTACAGCATACCCACCAGCTTGGGGATCCGACCCTGCCACCAGCAGCCCAACAACAACTCCAGCAGCTACAACAACAACAGTGGGGGCAACCTGCAAACGCCCGACTCCCCGCGCAGCACACGGAGTGCTCCCTGGCCAAGGTCCCAGCAGAGGTCCCTCTTCGGCCACAATCCTTCGAGTCCGCGATCCGTGAGATCCGCTAGTACGGCGGGCGGTGGTCTGCACCACCATCACAGCCACCACAGCCATGGCCACGGCACCAGCCACCATCCGCACCACCAGTCCTCGTCAGCGGGGCCCAACTCCTCGTCCTCGCACCACCACCGGCAGCAGCGGGCCAGCTCCTCCTCCGCCTCCCACCAGCAGCAGAGATACCGCTCCAGCTCCGTTGAGAGCCACTCCTCCAACGATTCCAGGTCCACGCGCAAGTGAGTTTTCCTAATATCTATTAATAGTTAGATTTTAAGTTCCATGAATCAAGAGGAAACCCCTCTGATTAAGTAAAAGTCCTATCAGTGTATGGTTTTTGGAAGTCATGGTGATTAATATTTAAATTCCACATCAAGAGTGATTACTTTGCTGATAGACTTCGGACCGCGGCTTGACCTTCCGAAGGGGCATCTATATTTGAAAGTTCCAAAAGTGAGAGAAACTAGATATATGTGACGTGTGCAGGTTTTATCGAAATGGGTGAATTCAAGTTGTCAGAAGGTAAATAACGTTGATAGCGTCCCCGAAGGGGTTAAGATAAAGTCTAGAAGTCGAGTATAGGTGACTTTCTGAGCCCCATAAAGTCCTATCGACTTGGACATCCGTAAGCGTGCGCCTAGCTTGAGTGCTTGGATTACAGGGAGTGTTTACACATTAAATTGGATTTGATCTGAATTTCGCCAGGAACTTCAAATTCCCAAGTTTTTGTGCGTGTTAACTTTGGTATTTCCATGTATCTTATCGAAAAGGTTTTTATTTTAGGGAACAAGTCAAATTCCTTAACTTGTTGGCCTTGCCAGTTTTTGCAAATCATTATTTGCTATCGTAAAAATATCAAATATCTAATTTATCAAGTTATCAAATTCGGCAGAGATATTAGACCAAAGGAATAATGACTTCCCATGGATATCCTCTTAACCCATTATTTACTTTTTCAAGGCATAAGCACCGTCATCGCCGCACCTCTGATAATGAAAGCGAGCTTTCGAGGGGATCGGGTCGCTCTGGCAGATCAGGACGTTCGCATCATCGCAAGCACCGCCGATCCCACCGGCACCGAAGGGATTCGGCTGGAGGATCCGATCACGACAGCACACGTGGTCGCAGCTACTCCGGACATCGAAGCTCGTCGATGAGAAGTGGAAGTGCCGAGCTCATAGATTCCACATCGCAATGGCGGGAGGTTCAGAGGCGCCAGGCGGAAGCAAGCCTGGGCCAAAGCTCTGTGCAACAGGCAGCTGTTTCGAAGAGCAGCATGGTGGCCAGGAGTCTCCACAGCAACGACAGCCACTCGGACACCCATTCGCACCACAAGTCCAGAAGGCATCGCAAGAACAAGTGAGCACAAGGAACTGGTGGAACTCTTTGCGATATATTTAACATTTCCCAAAATCAAATAGGTCCCCATCGGAATCACGAAGCCGCATGTGGAACAGTGAGCTAGCGAAGCACCTTCAATTCGATCTGGTGGACACGGAGGGCATGTCGGAGCAACAATTGCGGGAGATTCCCTATACGGTGGTGGAGACCACATCGAAGAGATCCAATTCGAACCTGAAGATCCACAAGAGCAACAGCAAGAGTAGCGTCGGGGCCAAGAGCACGGGATCGGGCAACACCATCACCAATGGCAGTGGATCGGGAAATACAGGCCAGGCCAGGAATCGCGTCGACCGTATCAGAGGGTAAGTAGCTGTAAATGCTGGGTCTTTCCTTACCCCTTCTTTACCAACCCACTTAACCAATGTACGTAATTGTAGACTTTACTATCAAAGCTCGCACCCACACGACACCAACGGAGTTCCTGGAACCGGAGGACATGCACCCAAGAACGGTTCTATCCGATCGGCTAGCACTATATCTTCGAGGGAATGCGAAAGAAATAATGGTCTGGTTAGGTAAGTAAAGTCTCAGGATGAGTGTTCTTCTCAAGGATTGTAAATATATGTCGATTCCTTAACCTTAGAATGATGTCCAGCATGAGCATGGGCGACTTTATCTCACCCACTGGCTCAAACCTGAGTCCTCTGGAGAACTCAGCTCTGCGTGTGTCTCATGAGCACACTGACTCCGGACTGGGAGCTGATCAGGATTATGCATATTCATCGGAGAGGTAAGGAGTGAAGTTTTCTAACAGATAAATTTCAGATATCTACCACCACTTAACCCCCTAAAAATCCAGATCCAGCGACAGCACTCGCTATGGCACTAACAAATCCTCTGGCGCCTCCAGCGGATCGCACCGGAAGTCGGGGGGCAGCGCCGGCGGCAACTACAACAACCTGATGCAGCAGACCGTGAGTAACCAGCAGCAGCAGCAGCGCTCGCTGTTCGCCCAGCAGCAGCGCCAGCAGAAGAGCACCTACAAATACGCCACATCCTCGCCATCGTCCACTAACCCAGGGAGCTCCTCGGGACTGGCGCCTGTCCACAACCCGGGCTCGAGCTCCAACCCGAACCCCAGTCAAAATCCCAACAGCGCTACTAACTCTAATCAGCAATCGCCGGCTAACCGCCTGCTCCACTACACGACCTTCGAGAACAACCAGTACAAGTTCAGTCTGAACAATGCGCTGGCCAAGAGTTCCAAGGGGGTCATAAGTGGAGGAGGCAGCATTAGCAACCTGGCCGGGAGTATGGTAACATCTGGTGTCGGTGGTCCAGGTTCTCAAGGTGGTGGTGGTGCTTTCAGCCGGCAGCGCAGCTTTGTGGAGTGGCCCAGCAATCCGGCGTCGCCGTACTATTACCAAGGTCCTTCGACGCAGCCGGCGCAGGTGAAGCGGCGGGATGCCAAGTCAGATATTGGGGTGCCCACGAGGCGACTCTCCGGGCAGAGTCTTACCAAAACCCAGCTCCTAACTGGCGGTAACTCCCAGTTGGCCAATGCAGGCTGTTATCCCTTGCACTACGCCAGCAGCAGTGTCGCTGGAGCGGGTTACAATCGTCCCTTAGGTCAGAGGTCAGGGGGCAGTGGCTCCTCCTCGGGAGGTTTTGGCCTGCAACCAGCCAAATCGGATCTCTTCTTGTCCTACATACATGGCGGGGAGTATGAGAGGCCCTACATCTACAACTATAAGATGCCGCAGATGCCGGGAGGAGCAGGAGTAGGAGCCGGGCCAGGGGCAGGGGGTTCCCCGAAACAACAAACCACCGCTTACCACATTTCTGGATCACAGACCGCAGATCCGCCGCCACCTCCCCCTCCACTTTACGGCGGCACGGCGCCCGCCAACGACGTCATGTACTATCAGTTCGACAAAGGAGCCGCCACCGTCGCTCCGTCAACGTCGTCGACATCACCGCCCATTGTCCAGCAGCCGCGGCAGTCGGGCGGTCCATTAGTGTATCTGCAACATGGCCAGAATGCGTCTGTGCCGGAGGTGCAGCAGCCAACTGTGAGTACGAAGTGCAAACCTGTCGCATGTCGATGTTGAATGTTGATGTTGATGTTGATGTGGATGTGGATGCGTCCTCCTCCTCCTCTTCAGTTTGTGCAACTTGTCTTTCGTTTGCCACTCCATTGTGTTGCATGTTTGTGTTCCGCGCCTTAATTGAATCCGTATTTCACTGGCATTATCGCATCCCCAGCCAAAGTACTTAGTCTGTATGGCATGATTCCCCCTTTCCCCCTTCCACCCTTCCCCGTTTTTCCCATTTTCCTCGTTTTTCCTCTGCTACATTTTTGGTTCGTATTTCTAAAGAGTACTAGAGACTAGTGTGTATCCGTATTTGCAGAAGTGTAATAAGTAACTGAAGCTTTTATGTTGATTATTTCGTAAGACTCATTGTGCACACAGGCCGAGGGTGGAGCCTCCCCGTTTCTCCGTCTCCCCATTTCCCCGAATCCTTATCGCACACACACTCCACCCAAAGGACTTGTGTGTGTCTGGCCTTATCAAAAAGGCAAAAACGTAAACTTGCCGCTATCTCAGCTGCGGGCACAGTGAAATTTAATTAACTTGAATTTAAGGCGTGAGAAAGCCACTCGACGGAGCAGACCTTTGAGCACTCGAATTTCTATGGAATAGTTCAGCGAATCTTCGCCAGACATATGCCCATATATCCGTAACTCAGAAGTATGCTACGCCAACTTTGCCCAATTTCACGCATGCCTAATTAACAACTGAAATATTCCAACTAATTTCTGACGAAGCTCAAATAAATTACCCGAAAAATAAAAGGCCATAAAGACCCAGTCAGGACAAAGATTCTGGCCAGCGGATTCTGGCTAGCGGGGGCAATAAAAGAGAATAAATAATAAGCAACTATTTGCGCTACATTATCCAAGTTTATATAACAGACAGGACTTCCAGTCCCTCCTGCTTAGCTCCTTGCGGGCTGCCCGAGCAAATAATTTCAGCCAAAGTTGATGGCACGAAAGCAGAAATACTTACGATTCTAAAATAAATTCTGGCCCAGCTTCCAAGCTCTCGACCGGGTCACACGCATGTGTGTATGTCCTCCATATAAACACACACACACACACTCCCTATACCCAAAAGGCAGGAGGAGCAGCAAGCGGGAGTGCGAGTACATAGAAACATTTTCGAAATGTTTGGCATAATTTTGCTATAAAATAAATTTTGCAAAATTGTTTTTCCTAAGCTGGGAAGCAGCTTAGTGCGGAGCGGGCCAAGAAACGACGACTACGCCTGAAATGGCAGCCAAGGCAACGACATCAGCAAGGACATCAAATAAAACAAGCAAATCAAAAATTATGACAGCACAGCACGGGGCAGGGCGGCCGAAGGAAATGCCAAGCACGGGATCCTGCGGCAGGGGAAATTGTACTCGGAAAAATGTATATGTCTGGGTGCATGGTATTTTTCTTAGCTGGCTTTTCTTTCTGGAAAACTATCTCTAAAAGATTGTAATCAAAATCAAGAACCTAACGCATTTCTGTATTTAAAAGATATTAGAAAAGTTAAGACCAAAGTTACTCCCTTCACTTTCCTTAAAAAGGAGGATCCATAAGCATTGGAAATTCAAGCTTTCCTTATCAACTTGCCATTTTCCTCAGTGTACTAGGACACGGGATAGGGCCACCATCTTGGCCAGGCCAAAGTGGCAAAGTGCGCAGCCAGCGGCCAAGAGACAAACGCCAATGCTGACAACCCCCGAAAGGGGCGGGCGGGCTGGAGGGGTGGCCATGGCGTCCTCGCCCCAAAAAGCAGTTAAGTCAATAAATTTACTGATTTAATGTGGCAAAAGTTTCGATTGTTGTTGTCTCTGCCATTTGCTGTGTTGTTTCAAGGGTTAGCAGTTTTTGCCGCCGGCAGAGGCAAAGGCGAAGGACAGATCGAATGATGGTTTCCCTGGTTCCCTGGTGGAACGCCCGCAGTCGTTATTATAGCCATTGTCCGGACTGTTTTCGTTTTAGTGGCCCCAAGGAACACGCCACACTTGGCCAAATCCTAACAAATGCTAGATTAACACAATTGGCAAACAATAAAGGCAGCAAACTTATAGGCCTTTAAGCGATTGCTTATTGGCAGTAGCTCTTCGGCGAGCGAACTGAACTGGGGACACATTGAGTGAGTTGTTCTGTAATTGGAAATCAGCATCAGGAAATTTAAATAAATATTTTGCCTATTTGACAAACTCATCAATTAATTTCCCGTTTTTTGCCAGCTGGTTGAAGAGCAAAGGTTAAAGGCCAACTAACGTTATGACAGCCTTGGTCAACAGCATGAAATTTTAAATTTAGAAAACAAAGGCCAGGGTAAACAATGACCGCAGCAGAAATGCATTGCATCATAACTTTGAAAAAAGCGCAAACAAAAACGGTCATAAAAAATATGAAATTGCCAATTGATTTATTGGCAGAAAACATTTTCCATGTCAAATAGTGCGGAAAATGCAAAAAGCGAGAAACAAAGGGAGAACTTTAAACAAATACTCCTTTATTTATGCTGCATCCCGTGTATGATTTAATTATTCATCATGTAGGCAATTGCGAATACTAGATGGTTGACGGGGGAGGCCCTTTTCCGGCTCTAAGCGCCCCTTTGTCCTTTGACCTGCGGGCGGCATATGGCATATTTTTATGCATTTTTATTTAAAATGTTTTATGCATATCGGGAAAAAGGCGAAATAGGGTTAGGGAACTGATGGCGGAGTAGAAAAAACAGATCGGGCGCTTGGTAGGTAGCAATTATCTTTGATGGCGACAGTTGCCAGACGAGGTGGTGACCCGTCCCTGACATTGGATGCGCCTCCTGCCCCGTCTCCCTGGGAGCCGCGTGTTAATGAACGGGGCGTTTGACACTGGGCCACATTTATGCCAGACAATTTGATGCATTAGCGTGCGAGTGCGAGTGTGTGTGTGTGTTTGTTGGCCATGGGCCATGGGCGTGTTTGCCCAATTAAGACACACACACACACATAAACTGGCATACACATACACACACACCCATAAACGGGGAGGAAAATTAATTAAATTCCTTGGCTTTGGCCAGCGCTCTTGAAGTTTGTTTATGCAATCTTGTACGTGTTTCCATTAGGCTACAATTCAAAGTTCATTATTGAATGGAAGTGGGCGAGGCCTAGCAGATAAACTTGCCTCCTGCGGCAACAAATACGATTTTCAAGTTGAATGCAATTTTAATTAATAGAAAATCAAACAAACTTTGTATATCCTCGTGCATATACAAAACAAACTTGTCTTCTCCGGCAAACTTGTGTAGTTTGGCTACAAAAAGCGTAAGCCGCCGGTACACAAAGGCCGTAAGCTTAAGTGAGTGAAGGATACTCGTACTCGTACTCGTCCTCAGACCTCTCAGAACCATTCGAGTGTGTTTGTGCACCTTTCTGATTTCATTTACAAATGAATCTCACTGCCCGCCCATTCGCCCATTCGCCCAGCCCGCCCTTTGCTTATATGTTGACTTTTGGCAAAGAACTCGCCATCATAAAGGCATCAAATGGGCTACGGGCGAACGTGTCTTGGGCCAAATTGAATGAGCTTTTAAGTGTATTGAGGCAGAGACAGAGCCAAGTCGCATTCAATGCGATTAGTTACCGCACATGTCTGCCACCTGAATGGCTTAATTCGAGGCTTAAATGCAAATCAAGGAGTGCTCTAATGCTTACTTATATATTTTTAAATGATTAGGTTCAGTCGGGTGCCTTAAAGGGGTATTAATATATCGATTCACAAAAGTGTACAAATATAAAAGTGAAGAATAGTTTCCGCTTGCACTCCAACTTCGAAACGCACTTTGCAGGCCATTAAACAGATCGAGTGAACTTGTTGTTTAAGAGCAGCCTTAACTGGAAATTGGAGGAGGCCCTTTAAAGAGAGCCCCCCAACAGGCAACTAACTAACCCCTGGAACAACAAGGACTCAGAAGGAATCGCTATCCGCTGTGCAATCAACAGAAAACCGCAGGGCGTGCGGCGCATTTCGAATGGGTTAGGGAGCAACAGTCCCTCCCAGAGACCACCTGAAACCAATCCCCGACCCCAAGCAATCTACCTGCCTTTTGCTGGCCACCTGTGCACGTGGTTTGATTCGAATGGTCAGCTGTTTGGCCGCCGGGGCTTTTGTTACCATTCCCATTACCATCAGCTTGGCTTTTGGCATTGTTGATTGGGGGCCCTTGTTATTCGAGTATTTTGCGTGTAATTAAAACTGTGCAGGGCCCGCGGTCCTAATGATAAATTCATAAGCTGGGCAGGGGTATTTTGGTTGCTGTTTGTAAATTAATTAAAATACTATCGAAGCATACATTCCGTTGATTTTGTCAATATTTTCCTAATTGAAATATTATTTACCCAGTCGAAATTGTCGATAAACAGCATGTGTTTGTGTTTTGCCTGCGCCATTATTACGATAGACCTGAATGTTATGTTAAATTAGTAAGCCTAATATTGGGATAAACAACTAGATGTGTAAGTTGCATGCCCCGTTTGTGCCTAAACTAGCGAATAGAGAACAATAGAGCGTGATTAGAGCCCTGCAAGAAAGCTAAACCTTGTTTGTATTTTCAAACCTCACCAAACCCCGTACAACAACCCCCAACCACCAAACCAACAAACCACCCCAAATTGGATTCGATTTGCGATCCCTGAAAGCAGACGCACTCGTCGCACTCCTGCAGCGAGGAGGACGAGGCCATGATTGTCCTGGAGGCCCTGCAAATGGAGGCGCAGACCACCAACGACGAGACCGAAGATACCGAAGATGACGAGGCTGCCGAGGCCGAGGATATGTTTGATGCGGATGCTCCTTTGATGTCCCCCACGGGCAGTCACAATAGCTCAAACAACAACAACACCAGCACCAATTGCATCGCCAACAACAACGGCAACGGCAGCGGCAACGGCAGTCGTCAATCCCCATCGACCAATATTAATTTCGATAATTGCAATGCGAATGTCTACAGTGGTCAGCCGGCGAAACAACTAGGGCCAATTACCAGCGGCAACCAAACGTTAAATTGTCCCACATTGAACGCAAATACGAATCCGAATCCGAAACCGAATCTGAATCTGAGTCTGAATCCGAATCCGAGTAGCCACACCACCAATAGTCACTCCACTAGCCAAACCAATGCGAATGCGAATGCGAATCCCCCACCCAACACCACCAACAATATCACAGCAGCAGCTTTGGTTGCAGGTGCGGCAGCAGCAACTGGCACGGCGGCAACATCGACTGCCAACCTGCAACAAAATCAAAACATTTCCTCCAGCTTAGAGATAATCCTTTCGCCAATTATCCAAAGTAGTCGACGGTAAGTTTTTATTTTCAGTTTGTTTTCGGTTCTCCGTTGTTTTGTTTGTTGAGTAGGTACAGCCGTTACCGTAACTGTTACCGTTTTTCTGTTTCCCATTTTCTGTAGCTAACAACAAATAATACCGATACCTTTACCGATACCGATACCGATACCGACCTTTGACCTGCATGATAAAACGGATAAACAACAGAAGTGACTTTAGTCTTAGTTGGAAATTGCAATTTTTTCTACCCAGTTGGCTCAGAGTCGAGTTATTGTGTGTATCTGCTATTGTTACGGATTGCATTGAAGTTTTAGCTTTGAGATGTTGGGAGACCCAATAATGAGTTGAATGTCCTTTGTTCTGCTACCCTGTCTACCCTGTTTTCCCATGTTTAACATCAAACTTTATTGAACAGCGCGGGAAATTTAAAAGTACAGAACCATCCTCCCTCCCAGAAAACAGATACACGAACATCTTCTTTAAGTGTGCGAAAACAAAACGAAACGAAAACATTATAAATTATGTATTAATGTGCCCGCTAGGCCTACGCAACGCGGAAATGCCGGGACCTCCCAGCTGCCAATTTTCAATTGCCTTTGGGCCGAGATAACAATCGACTTGGGGGGCAAAACAATGGCGAAGCCTCTCAGGCAAACATTCATTTTCATTTCAATTTCACTTGCTTTCTGGCCTGCTCCTTGCTTTCGTTCTGGATTTACATTTGATTTGACTGCCTTTCCCCTGTTTTCCTTGCCTCGACATTTTTCCGCTCGGCAGGGCAGCACAAAAACGCACAAATATTTATGTAAGCTACGAAATTCGACAGCCTATTTACAAATGAATAGGTTAATGTCATCGGGGTGGAATCTGCTGTGTTTTGTTTACGAGCCAAACTTGGGCCAAATTGACTTTAAACATGTCAATTTAAATTTTGGGACTCCCAACTCCCACCTCCCACAACCCTCATTAACGCCCTACACTCCGCCCGTAAAAGTATGCTATGGCAAACACAGAAATATTACTCATACGCCGCATTGCACGCCGCCATTGAAGCGACAAAATGACAATTTCACAACAAATTAACTACCCAGCCAACCAAACGGCCAACATTCGTATATCCAAATGGATGTGAGAGCCCGGGACATTTATTGCGAGCTGGGAATTGCAAGGAAATGACCTTCAAACTCGATAAGCGAAAACAAAACAAGCGAAAGTGCTAAAAATATACATAATTTTCAGCACACGAAGACAAAAGCCCCCCACACATGCACACGAAAATATGATAGGACACCAGGCACACCCACAGTCACACATTAAAATGTATGTGCGGGCATGGGGCCAGGAAAAGCGAGCCGGGTAAATGATATTTCTGCCGGCTCGATGCCCCGATGCCAATGTTCCTGTGCCTCCGACCCGCACATAAATACAAATTTCAACAGAACAACAGGCCACAAAACAAAAATAAACCCACAAAAAAATAAGCGATGAAAGCAAAAAGGCGCAATGTTGGCAACAACAGGAGCAGCCAGTAAAAAGAAACAACAACCAGGCTAGGCAAACATTTCATATCGTAGAAATACTTTGGAGCCAAATAAACAACATTTTGCAGAAGCACAAAAAAAGGCATAACAAACAGTTGAAAGGGAAAATGGTTAGCCTGCGGGCTGGTGGACCTCGGGTTACTCTTTATTTGATTAGGATAAATATTTGAGGTCATCTAATATTAACGAAGCTTTCCCTGAAAGTGGTTTGAAATCAGAAATGAAAAGAATGTTTTACAATAATGAAATAAGAGAAAAGACTCATGGAAGCACCTGGTCATGATGTTGTATCCGAAATTGCTTTAAGTAGATCTTGAAAAGCTTAAGAGGTTCCAGAAAAATCAACTATCTTACGTACTATTCTAACCTAGAACTAGCTCCTTTTTTCCCATTACAAGTCACTTACTGCCCAGGCTTTGAAAGGGTATATCCACAAAGGGTCTGCGTGTTCGACCTTGGTAGAACGACAGTTCTTGTTTTAGATTAGACCCTTCAACCCTCCCAACCCCTTGGCCCCTAGGAGTCGGCCATTTGGAGGCCATCCCGACTTGTAGCTAGGCCACACGCCACCATCAACAAAGGGACTCGGGAAAAACTTTACGCATTTTTGTCACAGAAAGAAAATAGAAAACGAAAACGAAAATGAAAACGGAGGCGTAAGGAAAAGTGCTGAAAATGTGGAAAGTGCCCGAGTGGCAATCGTAAATTTGACGCACATTTCTGCCCGAGGGCGGAGAGATAAGCTTATGAATGGCTATATAAAAACTCAGCCCACTTCCACACATAATGCGGAGTGACTTTTTTCAGGATTTCCTTTTGGTTTATGATTAAATTAAGTAATTATTTGTGCTGCGGCGCCAGCTGAAATGATAAAAAGTATTCAATTTGTGGCAGTTGCGGCGATAAAACTGGATTTACTGCGGCCATAAACTGCCTGGCGGCACTTCAACTATATTTTTGTACATTTATTTCGAATTGAAGAGCACCATAACGCATACGCACTGTAGTCGCTAGAACAAACTAACAAGCTATACTCACAACCACACACACACACGCACACTTATACTTACACCCACACTCACATTACCGAGCACTAGAAAACTTAAATGAGAAAATCGAATCAACAAGAAACTTTTTCTAACATGCGCAAATATTTTCTCTCTTTCTCCCTCCCCACGACCCTCTTTTCTCCCTACTTTTATTTTCATGCCATGCAAATGCAACTACTACAAAACTACAATGCAAACGGCAGAGCGCAATTGTAAGCGAAATGAGCACAGAGTTGTGAGAATTAGCTAAATTTAATTTGCAATAGCCAAAGCCCGCCGACCATGCCCCTGCAGCAGGAGTGAACTGCTCCTCGAATCCGCCGCCCACTGCATTCTGCAAACTTTGGTTGCAGCAACAGCAGCAACAGCAGCAGCAGCAGCAGCAGCAGCAACAGCAACAGCAACAGCAACAGCAACAGCAACAGCAACAGCAGCAGCAACAACTCTACGAACAGCAGCAGGCTTGGCTCTAGAAAAGAATAAACACGCACAACATGTAAGTGGAAAGTTAAATGGAAACTACATGTGCGGGCTGAACATCAACAAAGGAGGAGCAACAATAAACAACATTTAAAAGCCGCCGGGGCAAAAGTTGGTCCGAAACTTTTCACCAGCACGTTGCGTTTGCAAATTAAATGCACATTATGCCAACATGTAAATAGATAATGCTGTATATAAGCAAGTTCGGGTAAAGAAACTTAATCGAGGAAAAGCTAACCAAGTAATCTTAAGACGCGAATAATCAAAAAGCCAAAAAAGCAAATGTATCTCACAGATAAACAACAGCAATTGGGGGTCTGCGGGATAAAAGCGAACGAAGAAGCATAAAAGCAAAAATAAATTGTGCGTTAATGATAAGCGGGGCACATTTCAGCGGCATAAAATTTATTAAAATATGCGCACAAGCCAGACAACGCGGAAAACTTAGGAGCAGCCGGGCCCCCAAAAGTAGACAGCACAAACATGGGCTCGCAGACACACGCACACAAATACAAGGGCACGAGAAGGACTCTGGCCGGAAATCGTTGGCGATAAATATAAAATTTTATTGTTGTGCTGCGTATCTCTTCGAATGCCTTTGTGTGGGTGTGTGTGGGTGTGCGGGCCAGGAAGTAAATTAAATATACGTTTTTATTAACTACTAAGAACCAATTTGATACGCATTTAAATAATGCCTCTTACACAAGAGCACACACAAGATTATGTAAAATTTAATTTTACTGCAGCAGCATCAGCAGCAGCAGAAGCAGCATCAGCAGCAGCAGAAACGAGAAAAGCCAAATAAATGTAGTAGCCCCAATGTGTATGTAATTTAAATAAAATATATTCGTAGAAGGATACTCTAGTTTTAGCCCCAAACTACTTACTTACTTATGCCAACAACGTCCAACAATTTCAATAATATTTACGTAAGCCAGCCACTTCTGACCGTATACGTTAAGCCCCCTTTAGCTTAGTTTAATCATTTGCAACTAATTTAAGTCCGTCCGTCCGCTGGCTGACCTCCATTGGCCTTTTGCGACTCCTGAATTGCAATTGTGTAAATATCCCGTCTGTTATTAATATTAGCCAACCATTTGTGTGGTCGAACTAGAGCTAACGAGTAGGATCGAATACGGAATGCATATGAAATATTATCGATTAACACTTTTACAATCTACTGAATATTGGTGTAAACTGCAAACTGCAAAACGAAAACGAAAACTTAAATATATACGATTAAATGTCTCTAACAAGATTTTACCATGAGTGTGTCACTTTTATATATATATATATATATATCTGATATATACAATAAAATTACAAGTAAAAAATAAACTGCAAGCGACATTTTATACAAACACTTACCGAGCACATTTTTATTCGTTTTCGGGGCCTGCCATCTGTGCTATGTGGGGCTATATAAAAGAATGCCACCCTCCGGGGCACTTCAGCTGTAGGGAAACTGTAAAAAGCATGGTCTTTTGATAAGCGAGTGGACAGGATGGCCGAGACAAGAGGACCAAGTCAAGTTAGCCAAGCCGGGCGATAAGCAGCCGGGATGCCAGAAGACAAAGGCGACAGCGAAACTTTCAAGTCGAAAGTCGAGTCGTGGACAACAATGCAAAGGGTCCTGCCAAATTAGCCAACTTACGCAGCACAAAGAAGGGCCCTCACGAGTTATGAATGGCCTTGCATAAGTTCGGCTCAAGTGGAGCGGCCAAAAGCAATCTAAGACAGCTGAGAAATCAGTTTCCACTTTGAGTTGGTTCTTGTGAGTTACGAGTGAGCCAGCTATTAAATACTAAGTTTCTTTTTGTGACAGAACTTAAATACTGCTGAAAACTTATCGGAGTGTCATAGTTAGCATGATAGAGTTGCCATCAACTATAAATAGTAAATAGTGGAGAAACTAGAATATAAAGATTAGACTTACTTTAGTCAGTCTTTTTAATGTTGTCTACAAAAGTAAACTCATCTCTGAACTCATTCCCTGTTCACATTTAATCTAGATCTGAGCAACCCTGCAAGAGAACTTCGAAAGCTATCCGCTCCAGAAAACAAAGCCAAAAGCTCAGCCGGCACACACACATACATTTGGTTTGACAACGTTACGTCAGTTCAGCCCTTTAATCAAATGATCTGCCCGTTTGCCTGTCTTTTATGAAAACTCTTCGATAGCCAAAGTCGCGTAGACACATACAGAAGGACCCCAGATCAGATGGCTTCCCAGAACAAAAGCAATGGATTGAGCAACAAGGTGACCACCGTGGTGGCCACGAATGCCTACGGTGCGGATGTGATGACCGAGATCAGCTACACGGATGCCAAGGTGGTGGGCAACGGCAGCTTCGGTGTGGTCTTCCAGGCCAAAATGGTGCCCAGCAACGAGCAGGTGGCTATTAAGAAAGTCTTGCAGGATCGGCGCTTCAAGAATCGGGAGCTGCAGATTATGAGGAAGTTGCGTCATGACAATATCATCACTCTCAAGTGGTTCTTCTACTCGAGTGGCGAAAAACGCGACGAGGTTTACCTGAATCTGGTAATGGAATTTCTGCCTGAGACCCTCTACAAGGTGGAGCGCCAGTACGCCAGATCCAAGCAGACCTTGCCGGTGAACTTTGTCAGACTCTACATGTACCAGTTGCTAAGGAGCATGGCGTACCTCCACAGCTTGGGATTCTGCCACAGGGACATCAAGCCCCAGAATATGCTCCTCGACTCCGAGACCGGTGTGCTGAAGCTCTGCGACTTTGGCAGTGCCAAACAGCTGGTCACTGGAGAACCAAATGTGTCTTACATCTGCTCCAGGTACTATCGTGCCCCGGAGCTCATTTTCGGGGCCACGGACTATTCCACCAAGATAGATATTTGGAGCGCCGGTTGTGTAATGGCGGAGCTCCTCCTGGGCCAGCTCATTTTCCCCGGCGACTCGGGTGTGGACCAGATCGTGGAGATCGTTAAAGTTATGGGCACTCCCACCACCGAGCAGCTGCGTGACATGAACCCCCACTACAAGCAGTTTAAGCTGCCGCAGCTGAAGCCACATCCCTGGCCCAAGGTCTTTAGGATTCGCACACCAGCAGAGGCAATAGATCTGGTCTCCAAGATGCTTATATATTCGCCCAATTCCAGGGTTTCCCCGTTGATGGGTTGTGCTCATCCTTTCTTTGATGAACTTCGCCAGGATCCACACCAGCAATTGCCCAACGGAAGGAGTTTGCCGCCGTTGTTCAACTTCACGGAATACGAGAGAACCATTGAGCCGGATACACTGCCATTGCTGCAGCCGCGCGGTCCGGGATCGGCTCCCACCAAGGACTCGGGTCCTGGCCAACGGAATCGCAATACTGCCGGTGAAGAGAGTCCCCGGAAAATAGATGCCAGCCATAAAGAGCCATCTGTGGGGCTCTTAAAGTCCCCGGAAGCCTCAACCAAGGGAATCGGATCCCCGCCACCTTTTTTGCGACACGATTTGGGAAACGGCGACCATTTGGCTGTGGGAACTGTGCCAATGGATTCCCTTAACCTCGACCAGGATAGTTCCGGGGTAAGCGAGGAAGCCGAAGGAGATGCCGAGGACAATATTGACGAGGATGCTGCGGACGAAAATGAATACGACGACGATGACGACGATGGGCAGTTCAACAGCGCGAACAGCAACAACGTCAGCGATGACTTGGAAGACGCGTCCGACGACGAGGACCTCCAGGAAGAGGAGGAGGACTAAGCGGGTTCTATCATAGCCCGCCGGACCTCAAACCACCAGACATTCGAATGTCAGATTATAATCACACGTGATTTGTAAGACAGCAAAATTCCTGTTTCAGATTAAACTGTAAAATTGATAGTCGCTTTAAGAAAAACATCTTTGAATGCTGTTCATGTCTTTATAATTCATTACTGTCTATTTTGTAATTTGCCCTAATTATAGATTAAGCTATGTTAAGCCAAATCTAGACCGTGGAAAACGGGGTATAAGCGATTTTGCACTTTCATTTGTGGTTACATACTTTGGGCTCGTTTACTACTGATTTCGAGAGGCTAGTGGTTTCTTATGGCTTGAGCCAAACCTCGTAAGAACCTTAGCCACACATGGCTGAAACTGAAGCAGGACTCGCAAATGGAAATTCGAAGGGGGCTAAAAATATACTTAATTATTTAAATGCCAACGCACTAGGGTGGCGCCTCGGCGCAGTTGTCCTTGCCGAGTTCTCTCGAATATAAATTTCCGCGCTTTATGGCCGTTCAAATACCAGCGGAAAAACCAAAAACAGGAGTCCAGCACGCACACATGTCCTTTCCAGAGGCGAGTCGCATTTCCTGCCTTCGTCCTTTGGTGTCCTTTTCCCTCCCTTCCTACCCCCCTCTCTTTCCCGCTCTGTGTGTGTGTTTGTTAATGTGGTAAAATGAATTTTCAGTTTCATTAGTTAAATTGAATAATGGAAAACTTTGTTCGCCGCATTCGACTCGTTGCTGTTGTTGTTGTTGCTGTTGTTTTTGGCCATGTCTGGCCTGGAAGGGAAAGTTACACTTCCGTCGGCAACACAAATACACAGCCACTAACTCACCCACACACATACACACATACACAGAAGGACATGGAACCGGGCAATAAAGCAAATTTATGCAAACGATAAATTTCGTGAGAGAGAAATTGTTTGTTTTGTTTTGTTCGCCAGTTGTTGTGACGTCAAGGGAAAACGCTGGCTAGTTAGTGGCTCTAAGTAGCAGTTACCAATTACTCACCGTTCTAGCCATGTGCTCTGCAATGATATTGGAGCTCTTAAAGCTTGGGAAAAGCTTGTAATTTTATGTCCACTTGAAAGCGGATATCCAATTAAATATTTTAGAATGCGAAATTAAAATATTTAGTTTTGTGCTTTTGCAGAGTTTTGTTAAAAAAAGTGAAAATAATTAAATTACATTAGAGAGAAAACAAAAAAACCAAATTAAAATATTCCATGGTGTATGAGTTAGGACGAGTGCTGACTATTATAACCTCTCATCAAGCCTTATCCCTATCAGAAACCCCGTTTAAAATCAATCTAACACCAGTATACTTACATATATAAGCCTGCCCACCCTTAAGTTTCCAGATCAGAACCTAGTTCCAGTTATCCTTTCGGGATATGCAAAGTTTAAACTGTACTTTCATTAAGCGAAAAGTCAAGCACACGCACACGCACAGACACACGAACACCCAGAGTCTGGGTGAAAATCTTTCGCAACAGCGATTACACGGCAACACTAACAACTAACCGCAGGACCACACGGCAGGAGGACTCCGGCGGAGGAGAGTACGGAGAGGAGTGAGGCAGAGGGACAGACACTCCGGCACGGCTGAGTAATAAACACGCCGATGACTATTTACAAAGTGTTAGCTGCGGGTTGTTGTTGCTGCTGCCGCCGTATACCGACGGTGTTTTCGGGGTGTCTGTAGCTAAACCTTTGACTCAAGTGAGATTACGATATGCTACATAATAGAAACCCAGGCAGCCGTGAAGAGGAGGTCCAGGAGGAGGTGTCTGGAACAGCCGGGATCTGCGGCTGTGCCACCAATAGCAATGAAACATTTTTCGGGAACAGCAGCCAAGGGGCACATGGCCGTAACTTGCAGGCATTTTACGGCCTTTTGGGCAGCTGAATGGAGCCCAGAGTGATGGGGGCGCTCCAGTTCCTGTCTGTTCTGCTCTCAATGGCCATGGCTACTAACAAGCAGCCGCCCAAGGTGAATGCGGTTAAAGTGTTTTCGGTTAAAGCATTTCGTGGGCCAAAGCATTTGCATAAACAGTAAAACCTTCGCACCAACGCCAAACAGGCAAACAAGCCAGCAAACAAACGAACAAACAAACCAACCAACCGACAAGCGGACAAACAGACAGACAGTCAGACGTACAAATAGACAGCAGAGGGCTGAAAAGAGGCAGACAGAAGTCCCTGGGAGGCGAAGGATAAAAGTGGCAGAAGCACAGACTTCCTGTTGCTATTGCAACCAGAATTATTTTATTTCCGGTTCCGGACACGCACACTTGTAGCTGGCCGGAGTCGAAAATGCGAAAATGCGCCTGCGGTTGCTACCTTTCTGCGCCCAGATAAATTTTCACTAAATGCACTTTTAATGGGCTCCAAACGGCACTCTCCGAAAACTAACCCGAATCCGAGACCTGAAACGAAACCGGAACAAGCCAAATGAGCCGCCAGAGATGCGCTATTTTAGGGGGCGTTTAATGTGCAACATTCGAGCTCAGAAGTAATACTTTAATCTAAAATAAATCTAAAATGATCTGCAAATTGATAAAAATCAAAAAGAAACATCCATTCTAAAACGTAGTTCTATAAATAATAAAGAAGAAACTAAGCAAAATCTGCTGAAATCCCTGTGGCACTAAATGGGATCGCTCATCTCCAAGCTGCATTGGAAATTGTATATGTTGCTATTTTTCGACAGCCTGGATGGGCCCGGTGTCCTGGGATGAAATGTTTGGGCAGAGGGAGCTGCGGCTGCGGTTTGTCCAAATAAAGCAGTTGAGTTAGTTATGCGCAGCTTGCGGTTTCGCTTTGACTATTTTTGCGTGCAGAAATGCGAAATGCGAAATGCCAGCGGGAGGGCAACGAGTTTGGTAGAGCCTGTGTAAAGCGGTAGACTGACTAATTAGGAAATTGTACGCTTTAATGCAGTTTCAGCAGAATAAACGCATAAATTTGTTATTGAATTTACACGCAAAAGCAGGAGCCCCGGCAGGAATGTTTTGAGGACGAATTTTTGAGGACGACAAACTGTGAAAAGTTTGGACACAAAGCGGAATGTCCTGGCCACACATGCTGGCCATTTATGCTCTTGAACTTTTGCAGCGCAAAGTTCTGGGAATAGAAAATCGAAGTTTTAATTGGATTTGCGATTCAATTATCAGATTTGTCAGCATGTAAACAGTTTTATGATGTCGCAACAGCGACAGGACCTTCTCAACTGGCCATGCAATTGCGTTTCCACCTTTGAATGAAATTTATTGAAATTGATTTGCCATTTTAATGGAATTACAGTAGAGGCAGGTGGAGGTGAGGAGCTGAGGAGCTGAGAAGCTGAGGAGGTGGCAGTGAGCGTGCTGCATTCCCAGCTCGGCGTTTAATTGAAATCTTTTAATTAGTTTGATTTTCCAATCAAGTGGCATAGAAGACAAACAGGAGTGGCCATTTCCCTGCGGTCGAGGACCTCCCAGACCTCCTCAGTTAAGGAAAGCCAATTAGTTGCAATGCCTTGAAGTATGCTTTTGGGGCTGTGGGCTACTGTCTCGGTTCGAGTTCGATATCCATTATGTTGTTCACGTCGATTGTCTGTCGATTACAAAATCCCTCGGCCTCTCCATTTACCACTCACCCCTCACCACTGCAGAAAAGCTATGCAAAGCTTTCCCTTCTCCGGAGTCGTTGCGCAACATAATCATTATCCTTGGCTTAACTCGAGTGGCAGCAGATATACACGGAGTGTGTGGCAGAGTGGGTCTGTGCCAGGCTCTGCCAAAAGGATTTCGCCTATTGATTCCACAAAGTGAAAGCCAAATCCACATGATATCAATTTGCTTTCAACGTTATGCCGCTGGCGTAAATAACCGAGACAGTTGGCAGGAAGGGAGCGAAGCATTTCCCGGCGTTTTCAGGGGTTTTCGGGACTTTGCGTTGGCTGCGTTGGGAGGGAGTTCCCCGAAAAGCCGGCGGAACTAAGCGACTTCTAGCGCCTGACAGCGGGTGTTGAGCAACGAGGAAGTATCAAAGTATCAAAGCCTCGGGTTCAATGGCTCCCCATGAAAGGCAGGCACTTCGGCAGCATGCTAATGATGCGGGGATGGAGGTATCGAAACTGCAGCTACATCCAATTCAATTAACTAATTAAGCTGCCAAATGTAACTATTCACGATTTAGCTAGGGGTTATTTGACTAATATACGTTTTCTATATTGATAAACGATGAGAAAGAGTAACATAATTCCTCTGATAATAAAAGTAAGTAACCCAACTCTACACTATTGATAAGGGGTAACATCAACAAAACTTGCAAACATTTTACATTTTAAACTGCGAGTGGTATAACTAAATTAACGAGGTATGACATTCCATATTTGAACCATATTTTTAACAGAAATTTGCAATAGTGTGTTCGGTTTTAAGCTCTAGCTCGGTCAAAACAAGCCGTACAGCCAAAAGAACAACTGTTTTGTACCGCTAACGACCACCACTTACCACCCCTATCACTCGATTTTCGATTTTTGGAAAATCAATTTTCGGCTACATTTCGCATTTTTCATCAAAATTTTCGAAAAATGGCCGAAAATTAAGTTTTCCAGATTTGAATGAAACTCAATTGGGAATCATAGCAATCAAATTACAAGCCCTACGAGGTATTACTTTCCATATTTGGACCATTTTTGGCTGATTTTTTTTTGCGCCCAAAGTCAAGTATACGTCGTTAGACAGCAGAGAGCCCGGTTTCTTGCCTTTTCTTAGCTCTAACTTTGTCAAAACAAGACGCATAGGTAAACCGGTGACTGTTTTTTGCAGCTAAGAAGCAAAACTTTAAGCCCCTATACTTGCTTTTGTCATTACTGTTCTGATTTTTTAGTGCGAGCTCTGATTTAATGGCTGAAAAATCAGGAAGCCTATTTTTAACAGAAATTTGCAATAGTGTGTTCGGTTTTTAGCTCTAGTTCGGTCAAAACAAGCCGTACAGCCAAAATAACAACTGTTTTGTACCGCTAACGACCACCACTTACCACCCCTATCACTCGATTTTCGATTTTGGGAAAATCAATTTTCGGCTAAATTTCCCATCATCAAAATTTTCGAAAAATGGCCGAAAATGAAGT